GAGTGGCTATTGGAGGCGGAGCGGGGGGGCGGTGGAACAAGGCCTGAGACTCCCTCACTCGCCCCACTCCAGGGCTTCTCCAAGGGGCAAAGCATGAAGCCAAGAGATGAGCCCAAATGACCTTTTCCCACCTGGGGATCCAAGATCACAAGGTGCCACACTCCCATAGGGACCCAGGTGTGCAAAGGCAAATTTCCATGCCTGCTTTCCTAGTAAACAATAGAAAGGTCTTCATTAAGCTGACCATGTGCCATGCTGTGCTTTACGTATATTAACTCATGTGATCCCCAATGATGCCATGAAGGAGGTGTTTAGAGTACACCCGTCTTACAGAGGAGGACACAGAGGTGACAGGACGTAAGGAGGCAGAGATGGGCTCTAAACTCTAGAGCAAGCAGCTGTGGATTCTGTGACCACTCGTTCTTCCCTTCTTGGATGGCACTGGGTAGAATGACTGCCTCTCCCTTCCACCCAGCCGGGCAAGAAATTCTACTTTCTGGATCCTCTTGTGCCCATCACTGCAAAACTACAGAAATTCCAAAAGAGAAGTAAGTTAAGGGGTTTCCTAATTTTGCCTAAAACCAGCCTCTCCTGATGTCCATCCACAGGCAGCACAAAGTGACTATCAACCCAGAGGGTGCCTTCCCTGCATCCCAGTCCCGGCCAAGGGAACAAGGATGCGTTCTGGACTGAGAACTAGGAGCCCAGGTCCTACTCCCACCAAGTGACCTCGGGAATGTCACTGAACCAATCAGGGCCTCACCTTCCTCTTGTCTAAAGTGGGGGCAAACATAACCCGCCCGCAGCCCCTCCAAAGTTCCACTGAGGCAGGAAGAGTCCTGTCTTTTTCCTCGTTCTGCCTTGAGGGGTGTCAGACACATAGTAGGTACTAATAAATGTTTGTTGAGTGAATAAAGAAAAGTCAGTTGTTACTGATTTGCCTCCCTCTCACCCCCGAAGGGCCTTCAGACCAGAGATTGGGCCCAATTCATTTGAGGTTCTCACATTGGTCCAGCTTCTACTTCTCCATAGGCTTTTTCACACAAGAAATTGTTCCCACCACCCACTATGTGCGTGGCCCACTTGAGGCCTCAGTCCCATCCAGACACCCTCAGTCTGTGTCCTCACACACCATCCCCTTCCCTTTTTTCTGGTCAGTGACTGTGACGCTTAGATACACTGAGCTCCCCCAGGCCAGCACAACCACCCAGCTGCCTTATGACCGGCCAGCACAGCCCATGCTTGCAATATAGACAATTCCTTACACTTCCACTTCCATGCCCAGCCCTGGGGGATGCAGCCCAAGGAGACTCCCTACCCTAACCACACACATGCACATGGGAGCACGCACACTCATGCACACATACAGGCTTGCACACACACATCCAACATGCAATGCCACCTCAGGACAGGACTAGGATTATCTGAGTTCAAATCCCAGCTCTTTTGTTTATGAGGTATATGACCTTAGGCAAGTCCCTTTACCTCTCTGATCCTCAATCTCTTCATCTCTAAAATGGGGATGATAATCATGGAGCCTTTCCAAGTCAGTCTGTAGGGCGATACTGGATATGAAAGCCTTGGGCTCAGGAAGTGTGCTGTGCTCAATAGAATTGTTATGTTTATTCCAGGAGGGAAAGAGAATAGTAGTTGCCTAAGTCCCAGGGAAACCCACGTTGATGGGTCTGGACCATGGGCATTTACTCAGTATATCTGATGATGGGGATTATCTTTAGGATAGGAAAGTGTTTGTGGGTCCAACATCACCTTGTTAGCACCATGTTAGTGAAAATCTGGACTGAAAATCAGAGAATGGGAGACACCCAAAGATACCACATTTGTGGCAGAGACAACTAGCTGTCCACAAAAATCCACCCTCCCCTTCCACAGCATACAGCAGACACTGGGATAGAACCACCCTGCCAAGAACTCCATTTCCCAGCCTCCTTTGTGACTACACTGGTCATATGACTAGTTCTCCCATGTGGCAGAGGGCAGTGAAGAAGCAAATGTGCCACACACCTCCATGCTTTCTTTCATCAGGGGTGATGTCCAAGGGGACAGTAGGGACATGCATGCAAGAGGACCTCCCCCCACGCAGAAACACCTGCTTTCTCGTAAACATCTGTTTTGTCTGAGCCATTATACCTGTTTGGGACTATTTGTTACTGCAGCTACTACCTGACTAATACAACCTTCAACCTCCTTGTTCGCACATGAGATGATTATGGCCATGGAGTGAAAACACCTTGCCTAAGATCAGTAGCAAATTCTGCAAAGCTCCAGAATTTTGGTCTCTGATCAGTCAGGAATAGATGTGCCATTTTCAACCTGCCCTACAGAGCTCCAAGAGTGAGGTTCCATGAACACAGCCTGGAGTCCTCCATCTTTGTTTCAACTAGAATAACATGCCTTGTATCTGCATTCCAACTGCCGTCCTCCCTATGTCTTCATTGCAGGAAAGAGTTCTGTTTCTTAAAATAATTCCAAAGCCCACGCACTGGGTGCCGGCTAGCATGTTCCGACTGTCTATGGTGCTACAAGATAAAGTTTCACTTCTGCACCAGGCCTCCTGGCCTCAACTGCTGACACAGGACAGACACACAGGCTCACAGAAGTGCATAGATATTTGCTTAGAAAGGGAAAAAATTCAACCTCAGTGTGCAATAAACAACCCAGAAACCTGGACAAAAGGCAAACAGAAAAGATGTTCACATCCTCTAGCTCAGCAGCCCTCAAGTTTTGGGGTACATCCGAATCATCTGGGAAACTGGTGCCGCGTACAGACTCCCACGCCTCGCCTTGGAGACTCTGATTGCCCAAACTGAAGCTTTAGGAGATATCCATGATTATCCGGCATGAATGATATTATTCATGATTGTTCCGATGCCGGCATTCCCACGACAACACTTTGAGAAGCCCCAAGTCTACTTTGTGGCCTGGAAAGTGGCAATCATTATGGGCAGTAATAACCATGCTCGTGCAACGTACCTCAAAGTGAGTGAAACAGGCTTTGAGGGATTTTTTGTAAGCTGATGGGAATCTGAGCATTAATACTCCACTGGTAAAGAAATTAATAATAACTTCTATTTGGCTCAGATGGGTGTTGAAAGTATGGACAGCAGGTGTGGTATAGAAATGATCATAGACTCCTGGCTAACGTTGCTAGAGCTCCTTACGACGCAACGAGCCCTCTGCTAATTGTTCCACATGTGTGATCTCATGTAGTCTTTATGATATCCCAATCTTACAGATGAGGAGACTGGAGGATACAGATAACTTGCTCCATGTCACTCAGCTGGCAGGGGGCAGATGGGGTTCAAACTTACCCAAACAAACTCATGCTGCAGCCACAATGTTCTAGTGCCTTCCGTGGAGGTCTAACATCAGAACCCCTCCCCAGGGCTCAGTCTCCTCATCTGTAAAATGGGCATGTTAATAATATCTTTATCATGCAGCCACAGTGAGGATTCAAGAAAAGCATGGCAGTAAAGTGGTTTGCCAACCGGGAGGATTTAATTAAGGAAATACCTGAGGGATGAGACTTTGTCTGACCCTCCAGTCCCATTTTACAGATGGCAAAACTGAGGCCTAATTACTTCACTTATTCAAGAACATTTACCGAGCACCCAGAGGATATAGAGAGGAGTGTAAGTATCCCAAGTGTGGCCTCAAGGAGCCCCAGGCCAGCAGGAGAGACAGACGAGACGAGGCACGGAGAGAGGGACCTCCCAGAAAGTGTCAAGCCAGAGAGAGGAGTGACTTGCCCAAAGTCAAGTTTACCCATTCCCTGAAGTTTTGGCAGAGTCCAGAGAAAGTCCTTGGTCCCAAGAGAGAACTCTTCCTGTGGGCTTCTCAGTGCCTGACACCCCACCGTCTGGGCATCCCTGGTTTGAGCTAAGCCTTCTTTCTCAAGAAGATGCCAAGCATCCTTCTTCCCACCATTGGAGATTGGAGGAAGGAAGAGAGACAGTGAGAACCACAGGTAAGATCGCCCTTAGAAAGGAAGTAGGGGCTGCCAAAAGGGAGGGCGGGGATCAGGCCTCTTACTAGAAAAAGAAGACAGACCCAAAACCTGACCCCCTCCTCGCAGGCCTATTGGAACCACAGGCTGGTCTGAGGGATCAGACTTGTAGCGAGCAGTGTTTACTGGATTATGATATGTTGTTCCTAACTTTGCTCAAGGCGAGCCTTTCCAGCGTACTCATTTCAACAGTAGCACAGCGCCCACGTGCCAGCCGGAGCAGAGGGGAGGACAGGTGTGTTCAATAGGTAGCATGGCCAAAGGGTTCCCATCCTCCATATACAAAGAACTCTTAAAAATCAGCCAAAGATAAACACACTGACAGAAAAAAACATGGGAGTGGACTTGAACCATAGACTCGTAAAAGAAAAATGGACAAGCAACTTGCAGGGGATGATCAACGTTAATAAAGAAATGTAGAGGGAAGCAGTTAGAAGCTTCACAAACCTTAAGAACAGGCACACCTTTGGCTCAGGGATTTGGCCTTTGGAAAAGTATCCAGAGGCCAGACATGCAAAGATGATGTACACGAGAGAGCACCGCTTGTAATCATGGAAAAAAGAAACAAACAAACAAAAAAAAAAAAAAGAAGGAAGCAACCACGATGAGAAGCAGTTACATAAATCCCAAGACAGCCTTTCCATGCAGCCATTACAATGCATCCTGGAGGAATACAGACGGGAGTGCACAGTCCCCTGTGCAAGACAAGGGAGGTTGCCAAATCAGATGTTGGACACGTGTGTGTGAGCCCACACCTACATCCTTAGCTGTGTCTGCTCCATCTAGTAGGCTCTCAAGATGAATTAGTGAGTGAGCAAGTGTGGGAGCGACGGAGAGAGCTCCCTGAAGGGCCACCTCTGGGTGAGGCCCTCCGAAGTCTCTGTATGGAGGCAGTGGGCTGTGCCGATGACACCGGCTTTGTTCCAATCTCAACGTCCCCTCACTGCCCCCCACCCCCCTGCCATCCCCCGCTTACCGTCTTGCCGCTCTGAGCCACTGCCTTTCCCTCTCTGGGTCCTGGTTCACTCACCTGTAAAATGAGGACACCTGTGAGAGGGAAACACCTGCCTTGTAGCTGTGAGCACTGGAGTCATGAAGGAAAACACGGAGCTTGCCGCTTTTAAAAATAGGGTGACCCTGCTGTTTTTTACAATTAGCATGCATGACTTCGGAAATCTGAAAAATCAGGTTTTCATTTTGACAAACATTAAATGCTAAGCAGAACCACAGGCCTCCTCTCTCTATGACTCTCCCCTTTGCTGGCCCCTCCAGACAGTGTCAAAGGCAAGCGTGCTACCTTGTGGTTGGTCTCCGCCTAGGTCTTCCCAAGGGCTCCCCTGAACTTCAGGCCACTGGAGGCCGTGTAGGGGACCTGTGTGGTCCAGCTTCTTTCTCTCGGCCACAGGATGCCCCCCCCGCCCCCCGCCCAGCCCCAAACAGCCTCAGCCCTCAGGAGCCTCTCTGGGAGACCTCGTGCTGTCCCGAGCTCCTCGCTAGCCTGAATGGGACAGAACTCTGCCAGAGAAACAGCTGGAGGGAGGAGAGAGCGAGAGAGAGTGAGAGAGAGAGGGAGGGGCAGGAAACTGGGCTGGCCGAGGGCGGGGGCGGCCAGCTGCGTGGAGTGGGGGCCTCCAGAGGAGGAGGCCAGCTGGGACCGGGATTGTGGGTGGTGTTTGGGTGGGTGGTGTTTGGGTGGCTGGTGGCAAGGCCCACTGGGGATGACCCACCCCTCTGGCAGGCGGAGCCCAGCTAGGAGCTGTGCCCACCATCTGAGCGCAAACCAGGAGCACATGCGAGCCCCCGGCAGCTGCAGGAAGGGCAGCCGCTCCCTATAAGGGTCTCAGGAGCTGCCAGATATCCCACCAGCCTGGGCCGGCTCTCTCCACCGGAACGCCCTTCCTGGCCCCCTAGTTGTGCTCCTCTTTCCTTATTTTATTTTAATTTAATTTTTTTTTTTTTTTTTTGCAAATTAAAACAGCAATGGGTTTGGTGTTGGGGGTTTTTTTAGTGTCAAATGAACAAAGATGAAAATGTTTCATAATGTCTGGTTTTAGTAAATGTCACCGGGAAGCAAAACATCCGCGTACTTGCAATATACCTTGAGAGACCATTTCTGGAGAGCTGGCTGACAAAACACATCAAAACCTTTAACTACGTTCAGGCCCTGTGTTGTTTAAATATAAATCCTGCTTTCATCCCAAGCCCTGCTCCCCAGAGAGAAATACCATTAACACTTCGGTATGAACACACACACACACACACACACACATATATATGCTACATCTAGATGGAAAATGGCTAAGTCATACTCCGCGTTCCAAACTGTAAACTCCTTCATTCAGCATCATTGAATTGATGCACTGGTTTGTTTATTTATTTATTTATTTAACTCCCCCCCGCCCCGCCCCATGGATGCAGTTTACTACTTACATAGGTTTATTGAATTGACACTTTCTGGGTGACTGGTTAGGTTCTTTTCAACTCTTTGACTATAATAAATGCCCCACTTCACACTTGTCCGATTATTTTCTTATCCAAAATTCCTATGAACATACGTTTTATTATTCAGAGGGGCCGCCTCACTCGTTTCAAGTCTCAACTTAAGGACCATCTCCCCAGAAGCCTTCCCCCGCCACTGGGGGGCCTGCTCTCGGCTCCCCTGGTGTTCCCCTACAACCACAGCCGCAGGGGCGTCCCTTCCCCTTCCAGTTTCTGTCTCCCTTACCCTGGAAACTCAGCTGGGGAAGGAGCTGTATTCTGTCTGGCCCCTGCGCCGCGAAGCACGGTGCTGGCTCGCTGTCCACGTGATTGCATCATCAGTAGAATAAACACAAGAGTGCACACCCAGACAGGGTGCTGGCCGGCCACTTGCTCCTTCATTCTCAGGAGATACTATTTCTGCTAAGGTGGTGCTATTTCTGCCCTTGTGGTACCAACGAGGAAATGGGGACCCAGAAAGGTTAAGTCACTTGCCGTGGGCCACACAGCCCATAGGCAGGAGAGCTGGGATTCCACCCAGGCTGTCTGGGTCCAGAGCCCAGCCCTTGGCCTCCAGACTGATAAACAGAGGGGCCCACTGTGTGCATGGCCCCGCCCCGGGGCTGGGGGGGGGCAGTTCCCATGGAATGGGTCACATGACCCTCCCACCATTCTGGAGGACCTGCCAGTTCACCTGTTCTACAGTTGAGGGTGTTGGGGCTGTGGGGAGTTGTTCTTTGGCTGAGGGCACCCAGATGGGGCTGGCAGACAGAGGCCCCGCTGAACCCAGGTCTGGCTCATTCCAAAGGGAAGGCTGCCAAAACTAACTTGTGTAGAAAGGAAAAGAGAAGGGGAGAAGGGTGGGGAGGGAAGAAGGTGAGAGAGAGAGAGGAGAGAGGGAGGGAGGGGGAGAGACGGAGTAGGAAAGAGAGAGAGAAGGGTGGGGGAAGAAGGGAGAAGGGAAAATGGAGAAAGGATGGAAGAGAGGGTCTCTTGCTCTTTTTTTTTTTTTTTAAAGATTTTATTTATTTATTTGACAGATCACAAGTAGGTAGAGAGGCAGGCGGTGGGGGGGAAGCAGGCTCCCTGCTGAGCAGAGAGTCCAATGGGGGGCTCCATCCCAGGACCCTGAGATCATGACCTGAGCTGAAGGCAGAGGCTTTAACCCACTGAGCCACCCAGGTGCCCCTATGCTGTCTTCTTTAGACCTAAGGGTCTGGATGGTTGTGGAAACATGTCCTTCACCATCTGACCAGCCTTAGAACCTCTCCTTCCTCTTCCCACCATCCTCAACTGTTAGTTCAGTGAAACTGACACTTAGAAACTATCATCTCTTTCATTTCCTAGATACTAACTGGAAGCACAGAGAGGTTAAGGCACTGTTCAAGGTCACACAGCTCCCTAGAGTCAGAAGTCAGACTCAGCCTGACTCTAAACCCCTCTCCTCCCTGTGCTGCCAGGCTTCCCCGGGGGACCAAGAGCATCTCATCCACACCCTTACTGTACAACTGGAACACTAGACCCAATGAAGGTAGGGACGTCCCAGGTCACAGCCCCAGAGCATCCTGGTCCGAAGGTGAGGCTATTTCCACAATGCGACAGCAGCCTGAGCACTGGGTACAGCACCATATAAGGGTCTGTCATTAACAGAGACCAGTGGTTCTCAAAGCGTGGGTTCTGGACCCACTGCCGCCTTGCTGAGCAGCTTGCTAGAAATTCAAGCTCTCGAGCCAGGTCCGTCCACAGACCTTGGGAACCAGGACCTCTGCAGGCGGGACCCAGGGAGCTGTGTGTTCAAAAGTCACCAGGGGATTCTGACGTTCACTCAAGTTTGACAACCACTGGTACAGACATTTCCACAAGGAATAAATCCTGGATCCTGGAACAAGTTACCTTGTGAGTCCAAGGTCAAGAGCTGGGGGCTCTGACATTAGAGCAGATGGGACCGAATCCCTGTTTCCACCACTGTGAGCTGTGTGACTGAGGCAAGTCCTCCCACCTCTCTAAGCCAGTTTCCTTAATCTGCTGGGGACTGAGAGGGGCTGGAGTATGGAGAGGAAAGAGAAGAGGGAGGAGTGAGGGAGGAGGGGGAGGGAGGAGGAAGTACGGGAGGGAGAAGAGACAGAGAGGGGAAGGGGAAGAAATAAAGGGGGAGGAGGAGGGGGAAGAGAGAGGAGGGGAGAAGGGGAGGGGAGGAGGAAGTGGAGGAGATAGGGAGATGAGGAGGTGGGAGGGGAGAAGGGAGAGGAGGAGGGAGAGGAGATAGGGAGGTAACCTCTGAGGAAGATCTGGCACACTCAGGATATCCTGGAAGGGGAGCCTAGCCTGGGAATTCAGCTTCTGGATGGATTTATGGAAATTTCCTCTTCCTCCTTCACTGGATGTTGGATCCTGTTAATGCAGGTCTCTTGGAGCCCCACCCCCACCCCATCCCCGGTCTCCAAAGCCAACCCAAGGCTGTAACGAGGTTTGGGTTTATTGGCTGGGCAATCTAAGAGAGTGGGGGCCTGGATGCCCAAAGTAAGGATCAGTGCACACAGCCCCACCTGGGCCCACAGGGAGGAACAGCAAGGGTCCTGCTGCCCCCACCAGTCAGAAGCCACAGGTCTTCGGTCACCATGCTGAACGTGGCTGAGAAGTCTGGCTTTTTCTTCCTTGGAATAAAGAGGGTTGTGGATGGGGTGGGGGAGTTGTTTTTGTTGTTGTTTTCAAATAAGATTCTGAAACCCGAGCCCTAACATTGGGGTACTGAGACTCGCAAGATAGGTGGTGGCAAAGAAGACTCTGTTTACTCCCTCAGAAATGCTGTGTAGTTCCAAGATGGCGGATCGAGCTTTATCTTATACCCAAATCTAGTTGGTTGGCTCAGGAATCCTAGAGCTCTGTGTTAAAGGAAATCTGAGGCCACATCCAGGTGTGGCTGGACAGTGACCCATGAGCAATGCCTACCTTGGACCTAAAGGAGGGGCTTTGCCTCTCTCATCCCACTCAGTTCTCCAACAAAAGTCCATCCATTGGCCTAGGGGGCTGGGGGGCCAGTGCCAGCTCTGCTTCATCCTGTCCCATGGATTGGCCAACCCTAATGTAGATAAACTTATACCTTAACTCCCACACCCCTTGGTATCTCTTTCTGGTTGATTTTTAGTGCTCACTGATGCCCAACACTCTAGTTAAAGCAAATGGTTTCCTTGTTCTCCCTGATTATCAGTTGCGAAACTAGGTTTACCAGAGAGGCTCTCAAACCACAGGAAGCTGGGGAAGATAACTTTCTGTGACATGAAGGGTTCCCTATAAACCCACACTGTGCTTACTTCAGACTTTGCTTAAGATGTGGACAGACCGCACTGGAATGGGAGCTCTGTCTCAGCCACTGACTGGCTGTGGGGCTTTGGGCAAGTCATTTTTCATCTCTGGTTCGTTCAGTACTTGTGGGATTAAGTTGTGGATGTGATGAAACTGTGCCTTTGAGATGGGGGAGATTATCCTGGATTATCCAGGGGAGCCCAGGGTAATTCAAGGGTCCTCAGAAGGGGAAGGCAAGGGATCAAAGGGGGGAGAAGACAGTAGGATGAGGAAGGAAGCAGACAGCTCAGTGATGTGGCCACGAGCCTAGGAAGACAAGCAGCCTCCACCCCTGGAAGACACAAGGAGCGGCTTCTCCCTGAAGCCTCCAGCAGGAACCAGCCCTACAGACCACATCCTGGTGTTATCCCCTTCAGACTCATTTTGGACTTCCCAGCTCCAGAACTGAGGGAGTGTAAATACATACTGTTTCAAGCCATAATGTTTGTGGTAATTTGTAGAGGAGCAGGAGGAAATTAACACAAGGGCTGTTCTAGAGACCAGAACATTGACTTTGGTGGCAGACAGTTCTGGGTTCG